CAGAATACAGGTGATTATGGCTCTCCACAGATTCCTTTTCTTATTATCTGATAATTGCCATGCATTCTTGGGAAAAATAGAGGAGTGGTTTCCTGTAGCGGTTCCATGGTTTTGAAATTGGAGTTGTTGCTATCAGGTTACCAACCAAAGCTAGATAACCTTAGTATACTTCGCTATTAAGCTCTAGTTGGATTAAGGATGGTGAAGAAATGTATTCATACCTTTTCATAACGGCATCTGTGTGAAAGTGAATGCAAAAGCCTGGGCTGGGATTTAAATTTGATGTGCCAATCCCACTTTTTATGCTGATACATGTGGAAAAATTAGTTGTGTTTTTAGTGTAGTTTTGTGATGATAAGAAAAATTAATAAGATATAAATGCTGTCAATGTTGAAAAATTTTAAACATTCTTGAGTTATTCATTATCATTTACTTTATTTTATTTTTTTAAATTCTTTTTTAACAGTGTGTAAAATTTGGTATTTATCAGGACGTTTGAAATAAAAAAAAATCTTTATTCTGCAAAATATAACAGACAAGGCAACAGCCTGAGCTAACCTTTGCAGTCATGACATATTTCATTGTTATAATAACAGTTGCATTGCTCAGCATCAATAAGTGAACTCACCTCATGTTATTATAAGAATGGAATATCTCATTAGGGGAAATTTGGTAGGTTATACATCACTTTTTATTTTGTTTATTTTGCATTAGCTTTCTTTGAACAATTTTACTTTCAATATTTAAAAAGCAAAATATTACATTTCAGAGATGGAAAAAGTAGTCAAGGTAAATTTGGATTACTTAACTTAAATGGAACTTTAGACTAGATTGAAAAATAAAATGCACAATAGAGCTGCTTGTTTATGTATATATATATACATATATATATATATATAAAGACATTTTTAAGACTTTGTCCATTTCATAATATATATATATATATATATATATATATATTCAAATGAGAGAAGGAACAGATGGAGTAAATTTACACTGTTAGTAGTTTTAAAAATACAAAGCAGAACAATGTCTTATTATTATATTTTTATCATAAAAGATTATAATAAAAACATGTTGAAATCGCTACACAAAAGCTTTCATCTTTCAATACTTTGATTGTACTTCTTCAGGCGATGGTAAGTAACTGGTGATTAAATGATTTTTAGGGAAATTTAAAAACAAAGTATTACCTCTTTTCTGAAAGTTAAAGATGGAGGGGGAACATAAGGTTAGATTTAAAAATAAACTTGTGGGTATGTCTTTATTAACCAATTAAATATCAGATCAGCACTAAATAGAAAAGTAAGCGCAGAGGGTGGAGCAGAGTGAGTTATTTTTTCATGCCATGATAAAATGGAACATAGACAGGCCAGCAGTGATGATTGCAGAAAATACATAAGCGGCAAATGTATTTTTATTATATATATATATATATATATATATATATATATATATATATATATATATATATATATTGACAAAATGACTTCATCAGACTAAAATGATGCTTATGTTGATGAAACTACACACTGATTTTAATATTGTTCTGGTATATAAAAGTTATATATATATATATATATATATATATAAATGAAAAAATTGAAAAATATAAGCAGTAAATTGCTGACACCCCCTGAAGAGTGGACAGAAAGGTCCACTTACAAAACTCTGCAGTCAGGATGTTGAAAATAAAATCAATCAGCTAATTGACAAAATTTTACTCATAATAATCCTATATATATATATATATATATATATATAGTAATTCATCGAGCCCAGAATAATCTTCAGCAGAATGCACAAAGCACTGGATGGCCATTTCATCCTATTTGGGATTAATCAGCAGTGCACATTTACTACCAATAATCAAAGCTGGACCATCTTGATACAATGCAAACATCATACCAACTTTACCACAGGCCTCAGTGATGAAGAAGAGACAAACTAGATTCAATATAACAATGCTATATATATATATATATATATATATATATATATATATATATATATATATATATATATATATAATAAAGTGTGGATGCTAATGTCAACAGCAAGTGGCAACATTCTGTTTCATACTTCAACTCAATCTTCAGGCCACGTGGGTTGGATTAGAGCTTGACCACATATATATTGTGGTATTCTGTTGGAATAACACAATAAACTAGAAATAACTGACTTTGTTATCCATAATACACCAATGACTAGCAGAAAAGTAGTCAAGCTACTATCCACCTTACGTGACCTGAATGTTATGTTCAAGTATGAAACAGAATGTTGACAGTCATTGATCTCAGTGTCCACACTTCTTGTATTTATACACACTACATCCCAAATATTGAGTACTTTTATCCTATAAGTATAGCGTATGTTTAAACTATTTTTATCATATATTATATACATATATATATATATATATATATATATATATATATATATATATATAGATAGATAGATAGATAATATTAATGGTTAATATACACATACATATGTGTACATATATCTAAAACACACAAATATATATACATACATATATACATACATATACATACATACATACATATATATATATATATGTAAAATAATTCCAAGAGGATAGAATCCAGGTACAAATCAATGTCCAGGACAGAGTAAGCCTTTTTATATATATATATATATATATGAAGAAATATACTCTTAAGGTGTGCTATATTTATGGGGTAAAGTGCTCAATATCAGAGATAGAACATGTGTAAATCTAAAAGTGAACATAGAAGTCAACACTTAGAAGCAAGAGTCTGTTTCATGCTAGACGCAATCGTGGCCTGACGATTGCATCTAGCATGAAACAGACTGTCACCTTTAAGTGTTGACTTCTATGTTCACTTTTAGATATATATATATATATATATATATATATAAAAGTGAACATAGAAGACATATATATATATATATACTTGCATTGAGCACAACACCTACCAGCAACAGTCAGTTTCATGCTTAAATGCCATTGGCAAGCCATATGCCTGATGATCGTGTTTAAGTGTAAAATAGTCTGTCGCAGCAGGATGTTAACCTCAATGTCCATTTTGCTTTTTACATATATTCTATCTCTGATGATGAGCACTTTAACCCATAAATATAGCATACCTAAAAACTATATTTATATCACACATATACACACACACAAAACAAAAATTTTTTTAAAAAACACTTTAAAATGAGATATTTTTGTATAATTTTTAAAATAAAAGAAAAAAAATTGATAACTACAGTGTATTTGCTTTTATTTTTCTGTTTTTCACCAGTGTCCTCAAAGTTCAAATTTGGATTCATCTGTTCACAATAGGGTTTGATAAATTATGAATATTTTGTATGAGAATCATTATATTTGTTTTCATTATAAACCCATTTTTGAGATTACTAAAAGATCTGGAGATTTGATTCAAGTGAAGAGAATCATGAAGAAAGACCCATGTCATTTGATTTTGCAAAGACATGCTATACCATCTGGTTTATGCATAACTGGAAAAAAAAAAATCAACCTTTCAACAAGACAATGATCCGAAACATTCTTCTAAATTATATCAAAATTATCTTAAGTTAAGAAAAGTGAAGAAAATTTTGGAAATTCTAACTCGCCCAGGTCAGTCTCTTGACCTCTTTCCCCTTGAATTAGTATGAGATGAATTGGATCAGAGAGTTCAAAGAGAATACCCAAAGAGTGAGAGTGAACTTTTTCGGTGCTTGGAGAAAGCTTGGGAATATCTGCCATCAACTTTTTTCAAAAACTGTTGAAAAGGATGCTAAGAATTTGTAAATGAGTAATTAAGACAGGTGGTGGTTTTATTGATGAAAACAAAATATCATGCTGTTGTATAATTTTTCATAGTTAAGTGCTTATTTTTGGTCAAAATAAAAGTGAATACATTGTATGACTGAAATTTTATCTTTTACTTTAAAGTTGCAAAAATATCACATTTTAAGGGTTTTTTTTTAAGGAATGAAAGATGACACCAAATATTTTGTCTGGAGTTTATATATTTTAAAATTTTTATGTTGATTAGGGAAATTTTCCCACTATCAAAGACAGAGCGTTTGTAGATATAGATGTAGTATGAAGATCACATGAGGCGTAAAACTGAGAGTGGAGTTAATTATATTCATAAAAATATGATACAATATATATTTCATGTGAGGTATATATTATGCCAAATTCAACACTTCATATAAAAGCGCACATTTTTATTAAAAATTTGTTCTGTAAGTATCTAGCCATTTAATATTAATTAATTAATTAATGAAACAAAAAGGAAAAAGAAAAATAAGAAAGCTTACCTAAGTCAATGTCACTTTGTCCCCTATACAGTATTTCCCCTGGGACTTGACACATTTATCCAAGCTTCCCTTCTATTCAGCACAAGCTGCTAAATTCTCTTTCAGGATTGCCATCAGCTGTCTTGTATTCCTCTTAATCTCATCCATAGTCTTTTAATGGTAATTTTACATTTGGGAAAAGGCACAAATTAGCAGAAGCTAAATTTGGACTTTCACTAATAGACCTGCATGATGCGATGGCATGCCAAAAATCCCTACATAAGACATAAAGAGTATACTCATTCATTGTAAATACAATGGTCACAATGAAAGTGGCATCTTACTGCCAGTTGAATATGGCACTCTCCGATAGTCAAGTTATGTCAAGTCTGAATAACCAGTTCTTGTGATATTCAAAATGTCTGGATATGTTCCAGAGAGACTTTGTATTCATTATACACTGACTAGGCTTAGTGGAATTCTTTAAAAGACCATTCTTAGAATGTACAGAAATTAGAAGCAATGAAGTGGTTCTTTCAATATTTGTTCATTTCTAAAATAATTGCTCAATGATTGGATATTGTCTAAAAGTCTGAGCAGGAAGTTAATATCATTATATTGTTTATTGTTTGATTATTTAGATATTCTAGAAAAGATGGGGAAGAATAAAAGAACAAAAATGGAAGACTAAGGGAGGTAACTCTTAGAAGGAAATGAAATAATAGAAAATTAAAAGTAGAAAAAAAGAGACAGTTAAAAGAGACAAAAAAAATTAAAGGAAGAAAAGAAAGGAAGAGAAAAGAATAAAGAAAAACACAGAGATTATAAAAAGAGAAGGAAGGAAGCAGTGGAGAAAATTTGAATAAAAGAAAAGAACAGACAAAAGAAGAAAATGGAGAAAAAATATGGTAAAAATAGAACAAAGGATAGGTTTTGCTGAAAATAGAAGGAATAAATTTTAGATTGAGAGAGAAAAAAAAGGAGAGATTAAAAATGATGCCATTCTAGTTACAGTCTTGTAATACGGAGAGGCATAATATTTTCATTCATTTCTCTGATTCACATGACAAATGAAAAATCAATTCTGGTCACATTCTTTTTTTTACCCTGACTCACTACAAATATATCATTTTAAAAACAGCAATATATATATATATATATATATATATATATATATATATATATATATATATATATATATAAATTTTGATAAAAATGTATTGGGACTATTGTTATGGTAGTGAAGCTAAAGTACACAGAAAAAGCCACTTGGCACAGATTGACCTTCAACACTTTCATGCATACACAATAAGTTATGTTGTTGCTCATTTCTGTTGTTTATAGCAGTGCATAGAAGGAAAGTGTGTAGAGTGTGGCCATCTCACTACACCACAGGGATTCCATCAGTAAGAATGATTTGTGTACCAGTTTTTGGCCAAGGACAACATTCCAGAGGTTCAGCAACCACCATATTTCCTGATTTCATCTCACAACATTTTCCTTTTTCTAAAAAAATCAATGAGGCAGCTGCTTACTACTCTAAGAAAGGAGTTCCAGGAATGCTTCCATCAATGGAAACAATGCTGGATAAAGTGTGTGGCTTCAGAAGTGGACTAAATTCAAAGGCGATTACATATTTAAATGCTAAATTGATATTTGTTATAATTTTCTTTTTTTATAGCACCATTCCTGATACTTTTTTTTTATCAGGCACATCAATGAACTTGATGGCTTCCACATGTGTTGCCTACATATGATCTGCAACAGAAAACTGGGGGATCCCATTAGAAAGAAGCTCTGACTAAATGCAACATGACGGGTATTGAAGCCATCTTAATGAAAATTCATCTCAGGTGGGCAGGACATCTTTCTTGTATGAGTGATAGCAGACTTCCAAAACAACATCTCTTTGGTCAGCTTCTAACAAATAGGTCAGTTGGGAGGTCACTCTTGCTTTACAAAGACAAACTCAAAGACAATCTGAAGTGATGCAGCAACCAATTTTCTTCCTGGGAAAACAAAGCATCAGAGTGAAGGAACTCGCTTCTCATCAATATATGAAGACTTGAGCAAGTCCAACTAGAACAAGTTGGCACCATACTGCTCATCTTAATGATAGTCTTATCTGTCACTGTGGCTTTGTCACATGCATAAAGCAGGCCTTGCTGTCCACTTGTGGAAACATGTGGCAAATGATCCTCAACAAATTGAGCAAAATGGCTCAACCACATATTCCATCTTCCTAAAAGTTTGTGAAACACCTGCAAGACAAGAGAGTCCACTATATATATATATATATATATATATATATATATATATATATTAGGTAATTGTGTATTTATGCAGCAATCCTTCATTTATGCATGTTTCATTAAAAATGACAGACAAGGCACTACGATTAAGCATTTTACTTATTTTTTCTTGTGTTCAAACAAGTGCTTTCTCTTTTGAATACAATGTAGAAACTGTCCAAATGTTCTATAATTCCTAGCACTTTCAGCTATACTTTTAGCCATTATCAAGGATGATTTCATTTTTTCAGTTTAATTGAATGTGTGCATTGTGCATATGTTTTTAGTGTTATAGAGATGTTTTATTTTTCGAACATTGTTAGCACATTGTGGCTGTGTTCATAGTTAATATTATTAAGGGTTGGCTTTTTTTTTATTAATTACGAAAACGGCCACAATGAAAGTGGCAAGGTGTAGCCTAGCAGTAAATGTCTGAGCTGGTGGAACTAAAGAATGAAGCTCATCTAAACGATTGAAATAGAAATAGTGACAGAGTAGCAATAGGCTTGTAACATTGCATTTGCATTTGTGAGGAAAGAAGTGGCATGTCTTCCCTCCACAACACCATGTAAACAATTTCAAAATCTATCAAGGCTGGAAAGTGAGGATTAGGCAGCTCAAAGATATGGCAGCAATACTCCATTTTCAGTCTAATCTGACTCTTCTAAAGCTAAAAAAACAGTAGGAGTCAATTACTTCCTGGAGTGGTACAAGCAGCCAACCATTTTTTCCAGAATCTTACAAATAGATTGTGTATTTGGGTTCCACTTGAGTTTCAGAGTAAACTTGAATCCCAGAAGCCATTTAAAGTATAGTGCCTAATTGAGAGAAGAACCATTCATTGTGACAGGAGAAAACGTTGAAGGTGAAAGCTTGGTTTAGGAGGTATTGAAAGTTACAAGCCAGTTATTATCCCATTGAGCTGTTAGAACTTGATCATATAAGAGATCAGTTGGAAGGCTCAGATTGTCTTTTTTTCTTTTTTTTATAAGATAAAATAATCTTGTGGGTTTAAGTGATAGTTTGTGAATTCAGTGTCATAAAAATTATTAGTTCAGGGCCTGAGCTGGGTAGGGTTAATGTTAGACTCTGTGAAAACAGGACAAACAAATATTGAGCAGTACTATAAAACAAGATGAGATATCATGTAATAGTAGCAACAAAGATGAGGATATTAGTCCAAATGTAACTAATGATAATTCCTCATTACAGAAAGCTGAAACATTGTAATAGTAACAACAAAGATGAGGATACTAATCCAAATGTAAATGATAACATTGTGATAGCAATAACAAAGATGAGTGGTCCACTGAGATTTAATTGGGTGTTGTCTCCAGATGTTAAATATAGCTCTCAGCACCAAACTTAGACTCTAGCGTTTCAGTTAATGTTCAAGAAGTGGCTCCATACATTAAAACTGCCTCTACAGTGGTTCACAAGAATCCCTGCTTGAAGTTGTTTGGTAAAGGATGTAATCTAAAAATCCAAATGTAAATAATGTAAAAAAAATGATGCCTCCTCATCCCAGAAATCAATTATATTTATTTTTTAATTTCAATGCCTATACTTAATTCTTTGATCATATTACCCATACATTTGACAATGGGACTTATATAGATCATGTGTTTTCAACTACAATTAATACCATAGTTAATATTACTGCAGCAGTTATCATCATAATCCTTGCCATCATCTTCATTGTGATCATGTCAATTCTATCTTCCTCTTATCATTTCTTGCTATAATTATTGATTTCCAATGAATGTCGGCTTTGCATATTGATCTCTATGTAAATTTTGAAATTGTATAGATACATTAACAAAAAGTAACACATCTCCAATGAACAAATTGCAATGTTAAATTTGTCTTCCCATTTGCTTGATCATCTTCTTTCACTCTTTCTAATACAGTGATCATCAGAATCCTAGGCTGCATTCCTCCCCTGGAGATCCTAAGCCTCTTCAATTCCACCCCCATTTCAAAGTGGCATTTTATTTAGCCATATATTTATAATTTATGTATATGAAAGGTATTAATGGATTTTATTTTTAACCCCATATTATTTATCACTCTAAAACATTATATTTTAGTGGATAAATGCGTTTCAGTAGATGTCCTGTTTTTCTTTTTTTTAATTGCTATAATTACTACTCCCACTCTGTGCATTCAAAAGACTTAATAAAGCAAATGTGTGTCGACCACATTTTCTTAATTAAGTCTCTTGTATGGATAGTTGTTTCATTTGAAGGGTGTGGAACTTGGGTCACTGCAGAGCTTGCTGTCAGTGTTCAAGAGGCCAACATAAAAGATATTCCTTATAATCCTCTTATATTAAGAAATGTAGATTAAAATAGCCAAGTCATGTTTAAGGAGTATCTGATCAAAGAATGCCTAATGTCATTTTGACATCTATCTTAACTGGGAACAAAAAGAGAGGCAGGCCAAAAACCACATCTAACCCTCAACTTGAAAGGAATCTTTTACACAATGTAACAATTTGATGGAAGAAGCTGTCTGAGTGGAACTTCCTCTTTACTGATGGAATATAAAGGGAATGAGGATAATTCAGCTCTTTGTACATGGTATGGTGAGTTCTAGCTGTGAAGTCCTGAAAACGTAGATCTAAGGAATGTAGCTCGCCTGAAAATCTGACATGAAATTAGTGATCGAGTAGTGAAAAGCTAGCAATGTTTCATGTAGGAAAGATGGTGTAGGGTGGAAAATAGCTCATCACCCTCAAGGCCGTGTATGCTTTTGAAGGAGAATTGTCTTAAATGGATAGATGCTTTAGCATAAAGCATCTTGGTAACCAGTACCATTCAAAAAGAACATCCTGTATTAGAATTCATAATAATTCTCTACATTTTTCTTGATACTATCTTCAACTTTTCATCCTTGAGCACAGCCATCAAATCCTACCAATGTAGCTCTACATTCATCATTAAAAATTACTGAGAAAATCAGTTTTCATATACTTCTTCAACCAGTTTATATATTCCTTGTTTTAATGTTTATTTAAAGGTGGGAATTATGTTTTCTTTCATGTCTTTATCCAATGTTCTTCATATTCTGTATCTTTTCTCTCAGTTTATATTTGAAATATCAAATATTTTCTTGCTGGTCAATCTGATTTTCTTGCTTATTCCCCCTTTAACTTTTGCTCAAATCTTTTTTTTTTTTTTGCCTTTGTCTTGTTTTTGACTGTTTTATTCTTTCAATTTCTTTTTCATTCTTCTCTGACCTCTGTTCAACTTTTTCACAGTTTACAATGTTGTATTCCTATCGTTCAATAACTATACAATACCATGTTTCTCTTTTGAGGTTATATCTTTCTTTAGATCCATAGCAATCTTTATATGTTGGGAATTATCAAATAAATATCAATAACTATGCTATATATATATATATATATATATATATATATATATATATAATTTAAAGAAAAACAGACCACTTTAAGGCTCCATTAGTTATGATTTATTTCACCAGATAATTTTATTTTTCTCTGGATCTTCGGACTTCACTTTCAAAGGTGAAAAGAAAAATGAATCTAAAATTTACACTTTTGAAGGGCGGTATTAAGCTTATATAAGGTAACATAGAGGGTATGAGGAATAGTGTGAGAGACATGGTTGAGTTTAGAGAGGGAAGGAAGAGTTTTATAATTTATTCTTATTTTTATTTTTAATTGCAATACTTAATATTGAGGAGGAGGAGGAGGGAGTAAGGATCAGACACTGACCTATTTAATCGGTCAAC